CGGGGTGAGAAATTAAATCTTTCGCTTTTGAATGATTACTAGAATGGATCAAGGCAACTGCATGACTACATGCAGACAACGCACGGCAACATGGGTCACAGCAAACAACATGCAGGATTTTATTTTCTGAAAAATTGACGTGTAGAAAACGTGCCATAGGTGCACCCATGTAATGAGAAGGTTATTGTATCTTCTTGCTGAAATCAACAGGGAAGCACTGCAAAAACGTCCGTGCCAATACGTCCATGGGACGTTTTGGACCGTCACAGGTAATAGTGTTCGTTAGCATTATCAGAATGTTAGTCAATAGTGAGAGTGTCAATATCATACAATATGCCAGTTTTCGCTTACCGTTTTCGAATCAGCTGTGTTACTTACTGGATTTTGCGAACACAGTCAATTTCATAACACATACGGTTACCTGACACTTCTGACAAGATGCTTCGGCCACCAGACAATTGGGCCACCTAATAAAAACTAAGAAACTAAATAAAATTAAAAAGGCGGCAACTATTTGCACCACCCGGCAAAGCTGTTCCCGCGGAGACATTTCTGTTGTGTTCCGCTGCCACTATAACCGAAATGGTGACCTTTTGCTGGACTGGGACATGAAAGACCTATAGCCTGGGAACCATGATTTTAAGATTAGTCGATTGTCTTTTTAAAAGCAGCCAACGGCGTTACCAAATCCGACAATTCAGACCGCATTTAGCAATAGAAACTATCGTGCATAGGTGCCTTTTCTGCCGGTGACCGCGCGCAGCCGCACAGCAAACTCAGCAATTTTGCGTTCCCTCCTGTGACTGAACCGTGCCGAGTGGCCGACGAGTCCGGAAATCTTCCTGCACGTAGCATCCAGGCGGTAGTGCTGAGTACCAGAACACTGTACAGCTATCTGCGCTGCTTGTCCACAAGTCACACTTGCTTTACTGTTAGATTTCCACTTCCAACGCAAATTAACACAGTCGATATTGTGGCCACTGACAACATTAGTTACATTACAATATCGCTAACTTCATTTTAGCGGTTACGTATTCTGTATACCAGCAATACGTAATCAAGTGAATATTTGTATACATTCCAGTCGACTTCCGGTCAGTATTACAGTCAGTGAAAGTACCCTCTATTGTTATCCCACCTACAATTTGTGAAATAGATGTGGGATCCGATTACGAGTTAATTTGTGTATTTGTGGACACTCTGTATCAGGCAAATTAAATTCTGCCACGTAACAGGTACATACGGATTGGACGTTGACATGATTATGCCAGCGTACTACGTCTCCTGCGAGGTTCCGTTCTGTTCCGCGGAGCGGAGGAAGGTCAGTTATTAGACTACTGCAGTTCAACAGACCACTGCCACGCACGCAATCGTTAAAACTACAGACCGTCACGAAGGTTCTTGTAAGTTGGGGAAACTGTGTCGCACTTCCCGCGTGACAACAGTGACGTGCCATGCAAGGCGACATAAGTACGTCAGCGGTCAAGTTGGTAAATTTGAGTATTAGATGTTGAAAACAAATAAAAAGCACAGCTGGGAAGCGAGCACGCTGTATAAGCGGCCAGCAACGGTGGAGTTGTCTGGCAGAGTCAGCCTCGACGCGCCGTACGCATCTGCAAAGGTCACGGTGGCCACACATCGCATTATTACGTATCACCGAATAGGAAGAAGACTACAGAAGACAGAAAAATGGAAAACACACGCAACTATCACTGGCGATGAATGAGAAAAGTGCGATCAAAGCGCCATCGCAATCCGCATTGAGGCGATTGAACGCCACCAGATTATGAGCGTATCTGTAGGCATACGCGCAGCAATGCCAGGACTGCCATCCAACAGCCAACTCAGCTACTGTACACTAACGAGTCCAGTAATCGACGCGAAACGAGAACAATCAACGTTTTCCAGTTCCAGTGTAGTGCTGAACTACATGAACTACTTCATGTTGATCTACAGGAAATTTTCCTGTTGTCGTTTGTGTCTTTTCTTAAATACTTTGTGTATGGCATTTTAATTTGACCAGTAAGGCTCATAGATACGGCTAGAAGATCAACAATTCCAGTACTAGAGATGCATCTGCAACTGTTTTCTTTGTTCATTTTATCTGACGAAAGTATTAACATAAAATAATTAATTACAGTACGAGTACTGCACTGCATCGAAAGGGCGCTGGCAAAAATACATAAGCAAGGTGAGAAACAGAAATGTGGAAATCCACTCATGTAGACAATTTGTCGCAAAAAAAACTGCGATAATTCAAACGATGCGACGCATGTATACGACTAATACGAGTAACATTTTAATTGCGCTTACCCGGAATGCATTGGTGAGGATGCACTGCTCGGCGTGCTTGAGGTACGAGCTTCTCCATTGCACAGTTCGCCAACCATCACGTGCAGGGTGCTGACTGCAGACAAAATGGTGATGATTACGAAGAGCGACATCTTAGTCCATCCAGCCGTCCCCAGAAAACTGTCGAAAACCGTTGTACAAAGCTAGAAAATGCGCGATACAGATAGGGTCTGATTTGGGTCAGGGGCGGCTGCTGTATACACCGTACGCCGCTATCTCAGCACGACGGCAAGTCGAGATGCCACAACGCCCCATTTGAACCGTTTCTGTCTGTCCCACTCGACGGCAACGGCTGCGGAAAAGGCTGCTAACCCGGTGCAAGCAAAGAAGGAAGCGCTTTATTAATTGTAGGTGTGCACCGAAGATACTTCAGCCTCACGGTGGTAACACCGCAAAGGTCACGCCTTGCTCTATGTTATTTTTGCACATTCTGCGCCGATTACTTAAAGTGAAAGAAGAAACTCTGGAAGGATGCTCTGCACTGTGCACAATATCAGAAATCGCTACATTAAAATCACTTGACGAAGATCACCTGGCTGTAACTACTGAACTGACGACATTGGAAAACAAACTGGTTCTCCACCAAGCCAAGCGCAACAGTCGTGAGAAAAAATTAAGGTCCGCAATTGGCCAATCTTGTCGGCAACCGGGAAAAACATTCTTCGTCGACTAAATAAAAGCAGCTTGCCAGCTATACTGTACGTACGGTGTGCTCCCGGCGCCAGGCTAATCAGTTCTGACCCTTGTTCCATGTTGTATGTCTGGCTTTGGGTGTGGTTCAAGTACTTTTTCCAAATCACGAGAGATGCTTGTCAACTTTTTCTTCTCAATAACATTCTTCTAACGGCGGAGTGTCCAGAACATGTTTCGACGTTGCCGGTAGCTGCGCGTAACGACCAGCTAATAACACAGTCATGCCATCACGGCGGCCAGGAATGCCGCAGCGTGACTTGATCAGAAACATTTCATTTTCGAAATGAGCTTGGCAAGCTGAACACAATGATCGCGCACTTGATTCGTTACCAGCGTAACCTCGTTCTTACCACAAATCAGCGACATGGAGGCTAACGAATAACCGTCACATTTTCCAGCACTGCTTCTTGTTACTGAAACAGCACGATGTCGCCTATCAATGTTCACTTATTGGCCTGCCTTGTATGTCTCTTGTTCACGATTTTATATTTGCACTTCCCGTCATAGATGCTGCAGCGGTAATTCAGCACTGCACGCACTGTAAAGACATACTGTACAAGGAGGCGTAACGCAGTTTCACAGCTCGCACCATCGCGCCATTAAAACTGGCATATTAGGCACTGCATCACGAAAAGCCCCTGTGCGTACTCGCTGGCCAGCCTGGCGCTGAGTCTTGCATGGTGCGAGAGTCTTCGCTACCGGGATCCACGCGGAAGACGTGCAACATCCAACACCGCATCCCCCATCCAAATAACGTTCGCCTAGTTGACTGTGCACTGGCAGGACGACGAGTGTTGATGTGTGATTTTATGATGTGTGGCCCGCCGTGACCTTTGTAGATACGTACTGCGCGCGTCGAGGCTGACTGTAGCAGACAGCTCTGCCGTTGCTGACCGCTTAGACAGCTTAGCCGCTTCTACTCTTTGCCAACTTTGTCAACAACTCAGATTGGGCACCTTGACCTTTGACGTAGTGCTGTCGCCGTGCAAACTATGCCGGAAGTTCACGCGGAAATTGCAACACAGTTTTCATAAGTATCCTTCCTGACGGTCTGTAGTTATTGTGATTGCGCGCGTGACAGTGGTGCGTTTAATCTGCGGTGTTCTGTTAACTGACCTTAACCTCGCATAAAGCGCAGTACGCTAACATAACCTGCATATATGCGAGCAGTCCAATCCTGCAGTCACTATGTACCAGTTACGTGGCAGAACTTGCCTTTAATATAGCGTCCACAATTCAGCACACACTGCGACACAGAGACCCATAATCGGATCTCACATCTATTTCGCAAACTGTAAGTGAAACAAACAATAAAGAGGCTACTTTCACTGACTGTAATACTGACCGGAGAATGTATGTATATTCATGTGTTGCTGGTACTGGTATAATTATGAGATTGTACTGATAGTTGAAAATGGAGTTCGCGATATTGTGATGCTGCTAGTCGCCACAACATCGACTGTATATTAATCTGCGACGCAAGTGGAAATGTAGTACTATACAGCAAGCTGTGACCTTTGTGCAATCAGCGCAGATACATTAGCTATATAGCGCCTCATCAGGTAATCGGCACAGTCATATTCGTACGCATAAACCGGCAAAACATTTCGTTCTTCGTCTTTATTCGGCTAGGAGCGTTTTCTCCAAGTCTGGGGCTCCCGCGGTCCGCGGATAACGCTGAATGTAGCGCTGCGGCAGTGCAGTGTTGTTCGGCTAATGATTCCCTCCCAGTGTCGCCATGTTCTCAGAATCACACTCCAAGTTCCTTGACCTTAGGCTTGCGCTGCATCGTACGCGGCGCATTCTGGACGCAGTATCCTGTCCACTATCGCACTCGTGCACGGTCTCAACCCGAGCGGCAAGTGGCCTGTACGTACAGGAATACAATACCTGCTGCTGTGCTCCTCATCAGAGTTAATAATAGGCTAGATACGATTATAATAGGTTAAATCTACTGTGCTGGCCGAAATTGAGTCGGGTGACAGGTCGCCGTTGAACGACCGGATGGCGTCGTTTGTCGTCGGCCGTGCTGCGTGCGCGGCGATCCGGTAGCGCCGTAGCGGTCAGCGGAGGTGTGGCAGCGGTGGAGGCGGCTGAGGAAGAACGTCGTGCCTTGTCGTGATGGATGGGCAACGCGCCGTCGTTGTTCTGGTCTAGGACGGCGGTGCTGGCCCGGCTGGTGGTCGTGAAGCGGGCCGTCTGCAAGCGTTGGCGGTTGGCGTCTGTAATCCGCACACCTCCGCACTGGCGGGCAATTCTGTTCACTTATAACAGGAAGCGCGCGCAAGTCAGGTGTCAAACTGTCAATACATAAATTCTCCAAATTCTCTCCGATTTGCTAAACGTGGACCCTTGCGGATTATCCATTCCTTCACCTGTCCGTTTCCACCGCAGCGACCAGCATGGTGTAGTTTAAGCTGGCCAAGCAGTCATCATTCTTCAGACAATACAGCTACCCGGCCGCAAGACGGTGGTGGTGGACGGCGGCCGCACCGCCACCGAGGTCATCCACGCGCAGCCCAAGAAGCCGGGAGGGGCGGGCGTGCCGGGGATTCACTGCGAGTAGCTGGAGACGGCGCGGGTGCACGGCAGCTAAGGGGGATACGGGGTCCCGTTGGACGCCGGGCTGACCAGGGAATACGCCGACACTACGCTGCGGGGCGCGCTGAAGGACTACCTCCCGGAGGAGCCCTACGACGACGTCTCCGCCGCCATCCACAAGTGACCGCGCCGCAGCACCCCGCCGCCCGTTCCGCGCCGCTGCCTTGGTGACCCGGCCTTTCCGCTCACGTAGTTTACTGCAGCATAGTCTTTTTTTGTGTTGTTTAAATTGATACTACTATCTGCAGCTTTTTTTATCGGTGTAGAATTTTATGCACGATGTCGCTGGTGTGTTTTCGTCATCAATTTTTATGACAACTGAAACCGATCAAATAACAAAATCGCAAAGTGCAAACCATACAGCACGTACGAGCTACAAAAAAGTACAGAAACGTTTAACTGGCGTTTCCGAAAGTCAGAAATATAACAAAAATCGTAACATCTGCAAACGCGGGACCGCAGTCACCGGTTTGGACGCCGACCGCCCGTATAACGAAAATTACATCTCTTCCGATGACGATGAATGTGATGAGGATTGGGCGTAACTAGAGTCACTTCCCGAATTCTCATCACCGGAATCGTCTACATCCATCTCTTCCACTAGCACAGGGGCGGGGTTCTGTAGACGAACGTTCAGGCTCTTCAGACGCTCTTCATCCAACTCCCGCAGCTTGTCCACAGCGCCAACTATTCCGCCCCGGCTGAATCCCACCATCTTCTCCAGCACCTCCTGGTCAGCTTCCACTCCGATGTTCCACAACCCTGCCGGGAAGTGGATCGGATTCGGATCATTCACGGCTTTCAGCAGTTCTTTTTCCGGTTGTTCTTCATTACACGAAATCATACGGTAGATGGCGTTGTTATCAAAATCCATCTGCCAGATGGTGCACCTCGAGCCAACACCGGACGAGCCCCAGAGCTCCTTCCACCCGTAGGACTCCATTTGGTTCAGCATATGTTGATTCATGAATCGGTCCAGCAACTGCTTCCCGATACGCGACCGCCGAGACTCGCACTGCAGCATGTCCTGGATATCGCGGCCCCCCGGAGCTGAACGCTTCTTCACATACACTTGTCCGGGTTTCGATTCGTGAATCCATCCTGGGATTTTTGGTGCCACCTGCCGGGCGCCATGGGGCGATGCGACGACGCAAACGTCGCGAGATTCTACAATGACGAATCACATACAGTGTGACAAACGGAGGTGACGCAATCGCAGGCATTTCGGGTCTTCACTTACTGCGCTCCGGTCCAAAGTGATACTGGGTAGAAATGGATAGAAGCGGATACGGGCCAGTATTGTCATCTTTCTGGACGAAGGCCGAAAAATAATTCAAGAAAAACCCATTGGTATCCTGCTCATAGGTCTCCGTCTCCAGGTTTGGCAGGTACGGCTGCGCGTTTTCAGGAACTGCAAACCGAGGCTACAAACAAACGCTTATTATAAAAAACAGCTTAAAAGTACTGTAAGTAACCGCGCAGCCGGTCTGGTTTACCATGATCTCGAACTAGATGGGTGAATCCCGAAAAGACAGGATGGTTAAGCAGCAGTATCAACAGGTTCCTCGAAACAAAGCTGTAGCAATATTCGTTCCAGAAATCGCAATCATAAGAAACAGTAATTGTGCTCTCGCAGCCTGCAAATGATTCATTGATAAGAAGATTACAAAATCTAGTCTTGCAGGGCATGCAGTCGCCTTTACGTGCGGTTACGTCATCGAACACGAATGCTTTGCTGCTCCCACCCAGGAGGTGTGGTTCAATAAATAACCAACTCGCCACAGCTACGGCAGAACTGCCACCTGTGCTGAATGCCATCGTTCTTGAGTGTTCTACTCCTTCCTCGTGGGATACTTGTCGATAGCCCGAAGACAAAGATGGCCCTTGTGTTCGCAGGCCAAACAACCGAAGCACCAAGCAATCAATAACTACAAGAAATTTTAGCGCTTGTTAAAGGAAACGCTACGGCTGTTTCGAGCACATTACTTTTTAACTCTAGAGAAGATAGAGACTTGGTTGTTCTTTTACTGTTTAAATTTTAATCACGAAGTAGTGTGCCGGCGCTTGCGATTATGGTGTTGCGAACAATTAAAAGGTGGTGACCATAGCCAGAGGTGGTGTCAGGGTGGTTAAAATAGCCATTTCCTAACAATAATTTATTATATGGTCACCGTATATTTTTCAAAATAATTCTGCTGAATCTAGAAAAAATGCGAAGGTCCACTGCTTCCGGTTAATAATTTAAAGTGTGCTCTTAACTAATTTTTTGTCGTACTGCACTATACTGTTCTCTATACTGTTCTCACCTAAAATTTTACCATAATGTAAATTAATTCTGTATACCTAAATATTATTGTGCATAATTGACCGGAGCGAAGCGAAGGTCTTCCTAATTCAGCTCCAATGCTTAGCTTCACTTGTGTCCGTTACGGAAGTCCAGCTATGACGTCATCCTGGATACGTCAGATGACGTCACGGCTCTATACAGTAGTTTTGCAGTGCTTCACTTGTGTCCGTTACGAAAGTCCCAAATATGACTTTACCGCGGACTAGCCCGATAACGCCATGAGACTGTAGAACAGTTTTGCACTGCTTATCTTGTGTCTGTTGGGGAAGCACCGTTGATGGTAACGTGGTGTTTCCTGTATGCTTAAAACGCTAATGAAGAACATAGGGCACTTCAAATAGCAACCTTTCCCAATGTCGCATTCGAATAAAACGTGACTTACTTTTAGAAGAAGCTCGACAAGTAAGGGCACCCTGGCTTAGATAATGAAGACCCATGCCAACCCTGGCTTAGGCAGTTGTAAGAAGTAACTGGGGGTGATCACCCATTTTAACAGTGCCGGCAATAATTCAAAAAGGTCACCCAGAGCTGGGTAAAATCGACTGGCAAATAGACACTCCATTGTTTGCGTAAAATTCCGTTGTTTGTTACAACATTTATTTAGAGAAGCGGGCTTGTGATACCTAAACGGTTTCTAAACTAATTACCTTCAACTCTGGCAACAACTAAAAACGAATTTTTAATGGGAGGAGGTGCTTTAGGGACCCTGGGTTTAACTGCTTCAAACCGGCAACGTCTGCTAGTATAGTTCACAATTTTTACAACACCAGGACTATTGTTATTGCCTGGGTTACATATGCGTTAGATTAGATAGAGCAAAGATAGTGTGTTTTAGTTGCATAGTGTACCCTAAAAAACCTACATGGCTTAAAACCCACTGAAAAAATAACGTAAAGTACTACGAAGTGTATCTAAATCGGCTGTTATGGTAATAATTTGGGATTAAATTGGTGATACACTCCATATGAGTATCTCACAATTTCAGTATTACACAAAAGTCTGCAGCTCTTTGAAAAAACTGTGAATTTACACTGAAAAACAGAAACAACTCAAAAAATAACGTTAAGTTCTACGAAGTGTATCTAAATCGGCTGTTATGGTAAAAATTTGGGATTAAATTGGTGATAACTTCATATGAGCATCTCACAATTTCAGTATCCCACAAAAGTCTGCAGCACCTATGTAAAAAAAAACTGTGAATTTTCAAAAACAGCTGGTGGAAATTCCACCGCTTGGGCATTGGCGTAGGACAGTAACATGCTGCCTGAACAGGCACAATAACCAGAGCCGCACACATCATATGATTCAGCCGCTGCGTACTAAGAGAGTAGCTAAACCATAACACTGTCAGCTAACTGAAAATATCAAACAAATAAGGACATCTCAGTGCTTTTATTATAGCATAAATGCTAATAAAACATTTTTCTTATCATATCACAATATTTTCTTCGACTGCAATAGGAAAAAGAACAATAGAACGACGTTGTGATCGAAGCAGCCAACAATAAATATGGCTGGCTATGATCAGTGTTATGCTCATGTAAACTGGCGCAGCCCACCATTACCCTGTTGCATACTGACCGGAAATCAAACATTTTTTTGATTATAAATTCAACCATGAACCTTTTCATGATGAATTAAATTGCACAAGCTGACTATTGAAAAGTGTAAGCAGCTACCACAGCCAGGTTGATTCGAGTAGATCAAGTAGCCATAATGTTGTGTACAACGGAATTTGTGTGTTGTCGCACCGGCAACCACCGTGCCCACTGCCCACACCGCCCGTATTGTATATCGTTAATGCCCAAGCGGTGCCACCTACCCACCTACCCTTCAAATTCTAAACTACTACTTCTAAACAAATTCTATTCTAGCAAAAATTTACTGCAGCAAAAATTTAGAAAAAAATAGTTCAGGGTAATTTATTGTTATTCTATGGTATGAATTTGCAACTTCGACAAAAAATTCCTTGATACCTCGGGCATTGCCGGGTTAAGCAGATTTGCCGTAGTTTGAATTTCGCTGTAATCACGGTTTAGTGTCAGAAATAACTTGAAACTACTCGCAAAAGATACTGGACATACGGTGATAACTTAAAAATGATCAATTTGTATTTGTTGACGGGTGATATGTGGCAAATTATGGGAACAACTGCTCTAAGCTTGCTTAACTACAAAGTGAAAAAACTAAAACTGAAAGAAGAAAGAAAGAACAGAAATGAAAGAAGAACGGTGGCAAAAAAGTTTAGTCTGGTTTTCAGTTTTTCCTACATGTTGTCCGAGAATGATTTACAAAAAATGTCAATGAATTTTTGTCGGCGGGCCATACAACAAAGCTTCTTGACCAAGCTGTGAAATCGCTTCGCTCCGGTCTGCTAAGGCACGCCAACGTGCATTTTTCTAGTACTACCATATTATATGATATAAAAAAACTAAGAATGATTAAAATTTACAAATTCAGAACAAACTGTATGAATTTTATATCAATGTAAATTATTATATATAGTTATGCCCCGCGTATCCGTGCTCGGCACTTAGAAACTGGATAGTAGAGGTTTTATTTTCGTTTTACTTTCTCCGTGGTTACAATCAGCAATAACTAAGAAGTACTGGGCTTTATTCCAGTGCTCATATACTATACTTAAGACCCGATGATGTATTTTCTGACCAAAAGTCGTTAAAAAATCTAAAATCAAGTTCCTTGGATGCGTCAAATTGCAACCCTCCAGCACTGGCTTCGATAGCGATTCCGAAGCCAACGAATCGCTGTCGCGCGATGCACAGAGGACTCCGGGACGATGGCGTGAAATCGAAAAGGAATACAGGTCAGGGTAACCGCGTACTACGCAGGGCGTCGAGGAAAAAATCTCCAGCATCATCCTTGCAGGCATCTCTGGACATGATTTTTGGTGGTTGTCCTTCTTCACAATTTCACAGGTACCGGTTATCCGTAACTCACCGTTGTGTAGTACATATGTGATATGTTTATAATTTTTATATGAATATCTTTATATCATACAAACGTATTTATATGCCCTTTTTATAGACTCGTCAACGCGTGGTCAGTTTAAGTCCAGCTTTGCCTTGAAAATTTCATACATTCCATAAAGATATTTTAAGTTTATTTATAGGTGATTATTTACTAACCACCGGAAGTGGTTAGTACTCGAACTGGCGATGATGTAGTATAATTAACTAGATTAAATTTATTAGTGAACTTTTAATTGAATTTTTGTATAACAGCGGTACAACCGGTACTGGCTACATATATGCCGGTATGAGTCGGAATTGCATCCGGGAGCCCCGTGGAAGCTGCCGTAAGTCGGCGGCCAGATCCAGGTCTTTCAGATGGGCAACGCCTTCCGGTAGCTCCGTCGCTGCTGCAACGCTGAATGAGCGTTTGTTTATGTACTGTATTACCCAGCGCCGAACGCTATTGGCGCGCGCAAGAATGCCCAGCATCTACGCCAAGCTTTACGATTTCCGCAATCCCAAGGACAGCGTTTCACTCTAAAACTGTATCCACATTTAATCGGTCCGGATACTATAATTTATAAATCTTCGATATTGCGCGGTTTTCTGTGCCGACTGTGCGGGATAGTTTCTTACTAATGTTGCGTGCCTTTTTTTTGTCCTTAGGCTTAGACCAAGTTTTTAAGTAACGGAATTTCCCGCAGTTTCAGCTGCCGCTGGAAATAGATTTGTACGAGTGTTTTTGGTTGCACAATGCAGTATAGAAATCCAGTACGTACATTAGTTAACTACATCCGTAACAGCCATGACGGCCTTTGCTAAGAAAATTATGTTTGGACGAACGGGTAGGCCGATTTTGACGCGGTAAAGCGCGCCAGAATCGTCGCAACGAAGCGGGTGATGTTGCGCTATTGCCGACCTGATGTGCCTCAAGGGGGAGCACGACCCTAAAAAAACAAATTGTTGCCATGGGCCTGCAAGTCTCGGCTTCCGACCTCGCTCCAAACCGGTTAACATAGAGTATAGGCACACGAGCTTGCACGAGCATCATTTGCACGGCAGATCGGCCCTCTCGGCCTCGGGTCGAAAAATATTAGGAAAAACAGCACAGAACTGTACCGGAACAACCGTGACGTTCTAACCTAAAAAAGCAATGTTTGGCTGAACGGGTAGGCAGATTTTGACGCGGTCAAAATGGCAGAATCGCCGCAACGACGTTATGTTTGTTATATTTTCTTACGTTTTCTTTCCACAATATTTTCGAAACAAATGCGCCCCAAAACTGGGTACGGATGTAGTCCTCCGTAAACTGGT